ACTGTATAAATGACAGTGTTTTTTCTAACACTGGGAGTAGGGCCATTTCTATATCTCTCTGTCCCCCGTGTGCCCCAGCTGTGTCCCCCACATATCTCAGCTGTGCCCCCCACTCCCCGTCCTGCTGTTCCTCTTTGCAGATGATCTTGGACACTAGAGCTTTGGCAGCTATAAATTTCAAAGGGCAGTTCTCAGGCCATCAGATTGGCTGGGCGTTTCTAGAAGTGTCAAAGCATTGTAGGACAGGGCTGTGGATCCCTCCTGACCCAAGTAGATGGAAAAGCTCCCTGATACACCTTGAGTGGAGGGGAAGCCACAGCTCTCCTTAGTTGGCCAAATTTCTCCCAGCTTCATGGGCTGGCAGTCCTTGTGGTCTGAACTCAGCTTCTCCTGCTGCTTATGCCACCCCATTCCCCTTGTCTGGCTCTCTGGACAGATGGAGAGTTGAGGGGAGCTCTTTCTCCTTGTACAGAGTCCAAGCCTCCTTGTGTCCTCAGCCACTGAGCTGAGCTCTCCTGCTCTGGGGATGGGAGGACCCGTGGGGTCCCAGCCTCTCCCTCAGCCCCACCAGCTGCCACCCTCTCCCCCAGCACCACAGCCAGGCCCACGTGGACATCTATGAGAAGCAGCTCATGCCCTTCGGCCTGGTGCGCTTTGGTGTGGCGCCCGACCACCCCGAGGTGAAGGTGGGTGTCTCTGGGCACGGAGAGTGGGGTTTGGAGACTTTGGTCAATGTGAGGGGGTTAGGAGGCTCCTTGGCTGGATGGAAAGACCCTTTGCCTCTGTGTGGATGCCACCCAGGTTCCATCCTGGGGATACTGCGGGGTGAGGGTGCTGCAGGCATCGTCCCTGGAGCTGCCTTACCCTCTAACCCCTCCCACTCTGGGGGTCCCTGGCAGAATGTCATCAACACGTTTACCCAGACGGCCCACTCTGACCGCTGTGCCTTCCGGGGCAACGTGGTGGTGGGCAGGGACGTGACGGTGCCAGAGCTGCGGGAGGCCTACCACGCCGTGGTGCTGGTGAGTGCGCACAGTAGCCGGGTCGGGGAGGAGGGGGCCGCAGCACGGTTGGTGGCAGGGGATGGAGGGGAGTAGGGGTGAGGCCAGGATGGGACCTGCAGAGGAGGAGCTGGAAGGAGGCCACTGGGAACCTGGAGGGGCTGCCTGACCCCTCGGTGCTGGTGCTGAGGTCTCTGGGCCTTGGGTCTGCCGTCTTTCCTCAGAGCTACGGGGCAGAGGACCATCGGGCCCTGGAAATTCCTGGTGAGGAGCTGTCGGGTGTGTTCTCGGCCCGAGCCTTTGTGGGCTGGTACAATGGGCTTCCTGAGAACCGGGAGGTGAGTTTGGGGAGCACCCCGAGCACCTCTTCCTCCTCACCCCTCAGCCAGGGCCAGGGGCAGCCCTTGGATGCCAGAGCTGGGGGAAGAGGGAGCCGCCATCCAGCAGCCATGAGAAGTGAGATGAGGACACGTGAGACACGGGGTTGACCGAGGCAGAGGTCAACCATGGAGGGCCTCTGGGAAGAGGGGGAGGTCAGGTGGGGGAGGAGGATCCTGGGTTGAGGCTCAGGTAAGGTGGGGGAACCTAAGGGCATGGGTGGGGACTGGGCACAAAGTGTCTGTAGACTGAGATTAGCCTGATTGGAGCCAAAGCTAGAGGGACTCTATCTAGATGTTTTCCCTCCAGCTGGCACCAGACTTGAGCTGTGACACAGCTGTGATTCTGGGACAGGGGAATGTGGCTCTGGATGTGGCCCGGATCCTGCTGACCTCACCCGAGCACCTGAAGGTGAGTGGTATGTCAGGGGCTGGAGGGGAGGTGGGGCCACATTGACGAGAGGGTGCCTCTGCCTGCAGGGTTCAGGCCTCACTCCTCCAAGCTGAGCTCAGTGCCTCTGTTTCCCCATGGTGCCCAGGCAGAGGCCTTCTGAAAGGCAGTCCCGTGAGCTTCATCTCACACCATTTCCCCTTCACGTTCTGCTCTCTAGCTATGTGGACTTTAAAAAAAAAAAACTCTTCAGTGTGCCACAGGACCTTTGCACACACCATTTCCCCTTCTTGGAACCCCGTGAGCTTCATCTCACACCATTTCCCCTTCACGTTCTGCTCTCTAGCTATGTGGACTTTAAAAAAAAAAACTCTTCAGTGTGCCACAGGACCTTTGCACACACCATTTCCCCTTCTTGGAACATTCTGACTCACCTCCTGCCAGTTAACAGTTAAAGTTCATCTTTTAGTTCTTAGCTCAGTTGTCCCTTCCTCCAGGAAGCCTGCCAGGAAAGCCATGAATAGGTCCATTTTCCCTGCAGTAGGTCCATGTTTTGTAGCATGTTATTGTCACTGCAATTTTATACTCATTGATGAGAGTTTGATGAGCATCTCTCTCCCTACCAGATCAGAGAAGGTCTGTGAGGGTTGGCACCATGTGCGTTTTACTCACCACTGACCAACCCCTCACCCCCCAAATTCCTTGCACAGTGCTGAGCACATGGTAGACGCTTGGCAAATACTTGTTGAATGCAAGAGTGTTTCATTCAACAGGCCTGGTTTGCTACTAGTTGGAGCCATTTGCACATGGCAGCAACGCTCCATCTGGCCACCAGGGGAGGCAGCGGTGCAATTTTGGGCTGGCAGTCTTCCTCTGGCTCAGGCTAGGGACATGACCAAATGGAGAGTCCCCTTTCTCAGGTCAGTGTCCAGTGACTTCAAGGCCCTCCTTTTGTGCCAGAGAACAGATATCACGGAGGCTGCCCTGGGGGTACTGAGGCAGAGTCGGGTGAAGACTGTGTGGATAGTGGGCCGGCGTGGACCACTGCAAGTGGCATTTACCATTAAGGTGCTGGGGCCAGTGTCCCAAGTAGAGGGTCTCCCTTTGGGGGGTGGGGTGGGGCAGAGCCACTGGGAATAAGCTGCTGTCTGGTATGGAAGAGGGGGGAGCAGGCCCCGGGGCCCTGTGCTTTCTGTGGTGGAGGGTGGCAGAGGTGTATCCCACCTGGGCTGGACCCTGGGGTGGTCTCAGGGTTGTTCTAGACCTAACCTCCTCCCCCACTCCCCACTCTCCACCCTCAAGGAGCTTCGGGAGATGATTCAGTTACCAGGAGCCCGACCCCTTTTGGATCCTGTGGATTTCTTGGGCCTCCAAGATAGAATCAAGGGTGGGTGGCCCTGGCCTGGCCCTCCAACCCACTAGGGAGGGAGGGCCTGGTTCTGAGAGGGCTTTGGGGAGGGCATGTGGAGAGACGGCTGTGGCCAAGGGCCCTGAGGTGTTCCACACTGCTGACAGAGGCCCCCCGTCCGAGGAAGCGGCTGACAGAACTGCTGCTTCGAACAGCCACAGAGAAGCCAGGGGTGGAGGAGGCTGCCCGCCAGGCTTTGGCCTCCCGAGCCTGGGGCCTCCGCTTTTTCAGAAGCCCCCAGCAGGTGTTGCCCTCACCAGATGGGCAGCGGGCAGCAGGCATCCGCCTGGCTGTCACCAGACTGGAGGTGAGTCTCATGTTACTCGATGACACCCCCATCCTAGATCTCCCCCAGCCCAGCCTGGTGTTGCCCACACTCTCTCCAACAGGGTGATGGTGAGGCCACCCGGGCAGTGCCCACAGGAGACACAGAGGACCTCCCTTGTGGGCTGGTGCTGAGCAGTGTTGGGTATAAGAGCCGCCCTATTGACCCCAGCGTGCCCTTTGACTCCAAACTCGGGGTCATTCCCAATATGGAGGGCCGGGTTGTGGACGTGCCAGGTGAGAGGATGTGAGAAGGCTGGGCACCAAATTATGGTGAGAGGCTTGTGTCTCCTCGGGTCATCCATTCATTCATCTAGTGACATGCACTGAGAAGGTGCTGTGAGCAGGCTCTATCCCAGGTCCCAGCCCCACCCTCCTCCTGGCCCTAGGGGAAGTTCCCAGTCTAGCTGGGACATATGGGACGTGTGTCTGGTCATTAAGTCATTCAGTGAACATTTACTGAGGCCTGCTCTGGGCTAGGCCCTGTGCTCAGTGCTGGGATTGGAGGTTAATAAGTCAAACCCTGTCCTCAAGGAGCTTCTGGTCTGATTAAATACCCACATACATGTCTAGTCATTAATTCATTCAGTAAATTTTGCTACGAGTCTGCTAGAACTGGAGGTGGGCCATCCCCAGCTCCTACCCTCAGGGAGCTCCTCATCTACAGGGAAAAGGACGTGTAAGGAGGAATGGCGTGGTAATAACAGGTTGAGAAGAATCAGGGGTGGTTGGACCAGCAGCCACAGTGGGCCCCGCAGATGGGGTCTGCTGGAGACTTAGGGTGTACGCGTGCATGTGCACATGTGTATAGACTGGGGGCTCAGTCTTGCTAGGCGGCACTCAGACCACCTCCCCTTCCTTACCTTTTGTTACCCCTCTCAGGCCTCTACTGCAGCGGCTGGGTGAAGAGGGGACCCACAGGTGTCATTGCCACGACCATGACCGACAGCTTTCTCACTGGCCAGATGCTGCTGCAGGATCTGAAGGCCGGGCGGCTGCCCTCTGGCCCCAGGCCTGGCTATGTGGCCATTCAGGCCCTGCTCAGCAGCCGAGGTCTGGGCCCTGATGCTGAGGTCCTGGGAGGTGGGGTGGGTGGCCCCTTTTTGGGGTCCTATACTTAGGGAGGTAGTGCTCTGGGGAGGTGGGTAAGGAGGTGGAGGCAGTGACTCATCTCCCCTCTGCTTCAGGGGTCTGGCCAGTCTCTTTCTCGGACTGGGAGAAGCTTGATGCAGAAGAGGTGTCCCGGGGCCAGGGTGCTGGGAAGCCCCGGGAGAAGCTGGTGGATCCTCAGGAGATGCTGCAGCTGCTGGGGCGCTGAGCCAGATCCCAGCCCCTGGCAGGGAAGGAAAGAGTGCTCTGCAGAGGAGAGGGGCCAGGTCAGTCCAAGCAGGACTCTGCACCCCCGCTGCATCACTGCCCACCCTGGCTTGGGGGCTTGTCCACATCTCTTCCAGGGCCCTCTGAGCACGCCCTCTTCCCAGAAGGTTGCCCTTGCCACTATGGGTTTAGCTCTCAGCAAGGAGGTAACCTTACTTAGAGATGGGTGGAGCTGCAGGCTGACCTTGCTCCCTTCCACATCTCTCCAGCTGGACTGTGGAGTCACCAGGTCGGGAACATACTGAAAATAAAACAGCTGTAACCAAGGGCCTTGGTTGATGTGGGACTTCTTTTGGGGCCCCGGGGTCACCTTCGGGTTGTAACTCCCCTATGGTCGCCAGGTGGCGCTGCAGAGACAGCTCCCTGCTCAGGAGTCTTGGGGGCTAGAGGGGGTTTGGCAGCCAGGCCTGGCCNTTCTGTGGTGGAGGGTGGCAGAGGTGTATCCCACCTGGGCTGGACCCTGGGGTGGTCTCAGGGTTGTTCTAGACCTAACCTCCTCCCCCACTCCCCACTCTCCACCCTCAAGGAGCTTCGGGAGATGATTCAGTTACCAGGAGCCCGACCCCTTTTGGATCCTGTGGATTTCTTGGGCCTCCAAGATAGAATCAAGGGTGGGTGGCCCTGGCCTGGCCCTCCAACCCACTAGGGAGGGAGGGCCTGGTTCTGAGAGGGCTTTGGGGAGGGCATGTGGAGAGACGGCTGTGGCCAAGGGCCCTGAGGTGTTCCACACTGCTGACAGAGGCCCCCCGTCCGAGGAAGCGGCTGACAGAACTGCTGCTTCGAACAGCCACAGAGAAGCCAGGGGTGGAGGAGGCTGCCCGCCAGGCTTTGGCCTCCCGAGCCTGGGGCCTCCGCTTTTTCAGAAGCCCCCAGCAGGTGTTGCCCTCACCAGATGGGCAGCGGGCAGCAGGCATCCGCCTGGCTGTCACCAGACTGGAGGTGAGTCTCATGTTACTCGATGACACCCCCATCCTAGATCTCCCCCAGCCCAGCCTGGTGTTGCCCACACTCTCTCCAACAGGGTGATGGTGAGGCCACCCGGGCAGTGCCCACAGGAGACACAGAGGACCTCCCTTGTGGGCTGGTGCTGAGCAGTGTTGGGTATAAGAGCCGCCCTATTGACCCCAGCGTGCCCTTTGACTCCAAACTCGGGGTCATCCCCCATATGGAGGGCCGGGTTGTGGACGTGCCAGGTGAGAGGATGTGAGAAGGCTGGGCACCAAATTATGGTGAGAGGCTTGTAGTTGGGTATAAGAGCCGCCCTATTGACCCCAGCGTGCCCTTTGACTCCAAACTCGGGGTCATTCCCAATATGGAGGGCCGGGTTGTGGACGTGCCAGGTGAGAGGATGTGAGAAGGCTGGGCACCAAATTATGGTGAGAGGCTTGTATCTCCTCGGGTCATCCATTCATTCATCTAGTGACATGCACTGAGAAGGTGCTGTGAGCAGGCTCTATCCCAGGTCCCAGCCCCACCCTCCTCCTGGCCCTAGGGGAAGTTCCCAGTCTAGCTGGGACATATGGGACGTGTGTCTGGTCATTAAGTCATTCAGTGAACATTTACTGAGGCCTGCTCTGGGCTAGGCCCTGTGCTCAGTGCTGGGATTGGAGGTTAATAAGTCAAACCCTGTCCTCAAGGAGCTTCTGGTCTGATTAAATACCCACATACATGTCTAGTCATTAATTCATTCAGTAAATTTTGCTACGAGTCTGCTAGAACTGGAGGTGGGCCATCCCCAGCTCCTACCCTCAGGGAGCTCCTCATCTACAGGGAAAAGGACGTGTAAGGAGGAATGGCGTGGTAATAACAGGTTGAGAAGAATCAGGGGTGGTTGGACCAGCAGCCACAGTGGGCCCCGCAGATGGGGTCTGCTGGAGACTTAGGGTGTACGCGTGCATGTGCACATGTGTATAGACTGGGGGCTCAGTCTTGCTAGGCGGCACTCAGACCACCTCCCCTTCCTTACCTTTTGTTACCCCTCTCAGGCCTCTACTGCAGCGGCTGGGTGAAGAGGGGACCCACAGGTGTCATTGCCACGACCATGACCGACAGCTTTCTCACTGGCCAGATGCTGCTGCAGGATCTGAAGGCCGGGCGGCTGCCCTCTGGCCCCAGGCCTGGCTATGTGGCCATTCAGGCCCTGCTCAGCAGCCGAGGTCTGGGCCCTGATGCTGAGGTCCTGGGAGGTGGGGTGGGTGGCCCCTTTTTGGGGTCCTATACTTAGGGAGGTAGTGCTCTGGGGAGGTGGGTAAGGAGGTGGAGGCAGTGACTCATCTCCCCTCTGCTTCAGGGGTCTGGCCAGTCTCTTTCTCGGACTGGGAGAAGCTTGATGCAGAAGAGGTGTCCCGGGGCCAGGGTGCTGGGAAGCCCCGGGAGAAGCTGGTGGATCCTCAGGAGATGCTGCAGCTGCTGGGGCGCTGAGCCAGATCCCAGCCCCTGGCAGGGAAGGAAAGAGTGCTCTGCAGAGGAGAGGGGCCAGGTCAGTCCAAGCAGGACTCTGCACCCCCGCTGCATCACTGCCCACCCTGGCTTGGAGGCTTGTCCACATCTCTTCCAGGGCCCTCTGAGCACGCCCTCTTCCCAGAAGGTTGCCCTTGCCACTATGGGTTTAGCTCTCAGCAAGGAGGTAACCTTACTTAGAGATGGGTGGAGCTGCAGGCTGACCTTGCTCCCTTCCACATCTCTCCAGCTGGACTGTGGAGTCACCAGGTCGGGAACATACTGAAAATAAAACAGCTGTAACCAAGGGCCTTGGTTGATGTGGGACTTCTTTTGGGGCCCCGGGGTCACCTTCGGGTTGTAACTCCCCTATGGTCGCCAGGTGGCGCTGCAGAGACAGCTCCCTGCTCAGGAGTCTTGGGGGCTAGAGGGGGTTTGGCAGCCAGGCCTGGCCCGCACCCACCCTCTCTTTTCCGCTCTTCCCTGCTGCTGCTGCGGCTCCCTGCGCCCGGGACCAGACTCCAGCCTGCCTGCTCTGCTGGCCCCACGGCCCGGTGCCCTCCCTGGTTAGCCACCAACAATCAAAACAGTGAGAAAAAAAGAGAAAAAGTGGCCGGACACGTCCGGCCCAGGTACTCCCTCTGTCGCCTCCCATGCCTTCCGCTTCCGTCGGTTTGCAGCCAGATTCACAAGCCTTTTAAAAATAGTCCCTCAGTCTTCGTAGCGCTTTGCCGTTTACAAAGCACGTTCACGGTCTTTTATGGTGGCCCCCAAGATGCCGGACTGGCTTTGTAGACAGAGGGATCTTCGCAATGAACTAGCTCAAGGTCACATAGCTAGTGAGCTGCGGGCTCGCACCCAGGGCTCCGGGCGGGCTGGGTGTTTTCTCCGAGGTGGCACTTGCCCCCGAATGTCTGGTCTGGGGACACAGTCCTGGAGACGGGAGAAGGGACGCGGGCGGCCGGCGCGCGGACGACAGGGAGGGGCCTGGAGGGGCGCGGGCGGCCGGGG